TAAAATTCATTATCAAAGTAGATCAACAAGTCGCTGCGAAAAACTAAAGTGTAAATGCGACTCAAAAATTGTAGTTCTATACTCAATACTATACTATACTATATACTATTTAGTTTCACACCTTAAAGCAACTAATTTTTGCATATACAATTAATATTATTGCTCATACCATAAATAACTATTACTGCGTATATAGTTCAAGAGTTATTGTTTTTAAAGGATGCAATTAATAAATTCGTTTTATTTTTTAGGCACTACTATATTGGTACAAGATAATAGTATTGATAAAACTAAATAATTGCATAAAATGACGATTGTAATAAAAAAAAACGATTAACACTAATAGTTCCACTAAAATAACAAATCTATAAAAGTTTCTAATGCAACTGCAATTCTCGGATTATAACAGGAAATAAAAGTTAACAGATTAGATTAAGTTTAGACTTTTTAGCTTATATCAGATATTGCCATTACTTCTGTGGCCCAGCTACAAATTTTACTTCGGGAATAGAAGAATGGCGTTGTTTTTTCAAAAAATTAGAGTAGCATTTTTGAAAAGAAGGTGTGTCTTATTAAAATGTCTTGACGACTTAATAATACTTATGTATTAGTATAGTCCTTCGATTAATTTCGACTTTACTCCTATATATATATATATATTTTACTTGTTATTCTATCGTTTTTTTTAATACAAGAAATTCAAAAAATCTGTCATTTTTTTAATAAATAATTATTTTATATTACTTTCTTACTTTGCAATAAATAAGCTTTTATTTCTCAAACATTTTTTACTTAAAACGTTTGTTTAGTATTTAATTTTAAGAATTTGTTTTTTAATTAATTTCTGTAACATATCAACATCTTCTTCCGGCATTTCATCAGATTCGTCGTCTTCACCACTTTCAGTTATTGAGGTATCATCTTCAGTTGTTGTGGTATCATCTTCTGTTGTTGTGGTATCATCTTCAGTTGTTGTGGTATCATCTTCAGTTGTTGTAGGTATCATCTTCAGTTGTTGTGGTATCATCTTCTGTTGTTGTGGTATCATCTTCAGTTGTTGTGGTATCATCTTCAGTTGTTGTAGGGATTGTTGTGGTATCTGCTGGTGGAACTGAAGAGTTGCCATTTAAACAATCCTGCATGTCTGCAGAAGCTTGACTGCTGTCCTGAACGTAAATACGTTCTGCTTCAGTTTTGCAGCGTTGTTCTGCGTTATCAATAATTACGTATTCCTCACGAAGTTCTATCAAAATATCCGAAGCATCATCTGAAACTTTTAACATGGATTTTGCACTATTAGAAGCCTAATTGAAAAAAAATTAAATGAAATTTTATTAGATTTGGTCTTATCAAAAAAAATTCTACATATAGAATTATTCATATCAACTCCAAGTTTCTCACATGAATCAATATTTGTATTTTAATAGCATTTATCATACTCATGCCATTGTAAGGATATGAAAATTATATACTTACTTTGTTTTTGAAACATTCCAATGATGGAATAGCTGATGATTCATCAGTACAAGTGCTAAACTGATTACAGGTACCATCAACGTCTTCTTGTAATTTATTACGGGCAGGGTCCTTAGCTTCTTCAACATCAACCCTAGCTGCATCTGCATTATCCTCGCATATTCCAAAACTTCTTTCGTACTCTGATGCGATAGCATTCAATTTGGGTAGATAGTAATCAAAACATGCCATAGATCTTTGTGGACTATTTTCTAGTGCACTACGTGAATTGAACATAACATTAAGTAGACTAAGTTCGGAGTTGTGAATGCGATGTATTTTTGCAGTCGCAAAACTTAAGCACAAAACTAAACATATCACTTTTAGAGCGTACATTTTGTGATTTTAAATTCCTTCAAAACTTTTCGAATTATTTTTTTAATTTTCGTTTATTCGTCTGACTTCACTCAGTCGCAAAATAATACTACCTATTAAAGCTTAATTTCTTTAAGTTTTATACGAAATACTGTGAAATGATATTATT